CAGAAGAGAAAATCCAGCCGCTGAATTCCGGAGCGTCTCCCACTACACAAAAGAGTCTCCATCTTCTACTCCACATAAGCAAAATTCAGAAACTGTAACAAAGAATCTTCTATTATACAGAAGCAAAGTTCAGAAACAGTAACAAAGAATCTTCTACTACACAGAAGAAAGTAAACTTCATCTCCTGCTTCACAAGAGAAAAGTTTTAGCAACTGAATTATGGAGAATCTCCTACTTCACAAAAGAGTCTACGTCTTCTTCTACACAGAAGCAAAAATTCAGAAACTGTAACAAAGAATCTTCTACTACACAGAAGAAACTAAACTCTGAATACGAAATTCGACCTTTGAGGTATTTTCTTCTATACAGCAGCAGATATCCAAGAACTCAACGCCTTATACTTCTTCATCATAGAAGCAGCACCCCATCTTATACTTACACATAAGAGGCATCCAATTGAGGAAAAAGAATCTGAAATGATTTTCTAAACATGGACTGAACCTTGGAAAAAGAATCCAAACAAGTACCAACCCTCATACTTCAACCCCTTGCAGTACTCAATATCCTAACTAAGTGCCCCAAAGTGGGATACACATCTAGCATTTGTATTGAAATCAGGAGAGAAATTTGTTGGAGGGTGGCCTAAAGCACGAAGCTTAATCAACTGAGCTTCCAACACACAAGGAAGTAATTGGATACAAGGTATAGAGATTTTATCAACCTGCCTCTCAAACTTTCTTTGTCTCTGCTGGTAATATTTACCTCATGGGTTCACTTGGAGACCAGAAACTAGCTGCTAGCAAGGAAATTCGAGAACACGAAGTTCTGGGTGAGACCCATAAAGTATCTCATGATTTGAAAAAAAAGTCCCATAGGCTGGGGATGAATGACAGCTCATGTTGCAACAACGTATACAAGATCACCTTTCTTTGCCGAGACTGTCTTCAAAAATTCTATACCTGACTCAACCGAGTCTTCAATTGGCTATATTTTCTCCTTGAGGATTTCTAACTACAGACCATTGTTTGCATATCCCCAATAAATAGCCCCATCTAATTCTTTTTATCTCATCCAATTCCTCACAAGGTTGTTTCATAACTTGAATCTGATCATGAAGCAGTGAGACGTCAAGAGTGGCAGTTCATGAAAAGAGAATACTGAATCCAAATAAGGGTTCCCCATTCCGAGTACCTTCTGAGTACCCTTTATGGATGCATGAAGATGCATGGGGTGAGTGAGAAAATTCTCCCTCTGATATGATTTGGACACTACGATCTCTGGATTGATCTCATCTTGGGCCTTGTCTCTGGATGACGTACTCTCTTCAATCGAATGATCAATTTCCCCAGAATAATATGCATAGAAGATTCCTTCAGGAGAACAACTGAATGCTTCTTTAAGTGAAAACTGCATCATCAGGCATACTACGCCACAAAAAACTAATACAGTTTGTCTTCTATCAAAACAAAAGAGACATCCACCTGGTGAAAGAGAGTTTGGAAGAGACTCCAAACAGGTGTTGGGCTTTTATAACCCCTTTGTAGTCTTCAATATCAAAACCGGGTACCCCAGAATAGGAGATGTATCTAGCATACATATCGTAATCAGAAGAGACGTTTGTGGGAGGAAGTTCTCAAAGATCAGAGCTGGGAAGAACTGGGAATAATAGGATGTAATGCATTGGGCTCGCATTAGCATGCTCAACAGGGTTCTTGTGTCTTGGCTTAAAAGCTTTCCCCATGAATTCACTTGGGGAATAAGGACTGGCTCTTGTTGAACAATTAGGGAACACAAGGTTATGGAGGATGCCCCTGATTAAAAGGTATGATGCCCCAGCGTGGTAACCACATCTGATTTTGGTCAAAAAGAACGAAGCACTGATATAAGATCACATAGTAAAATGGGAAGCATCTGCTGATAAGATGTTCCAATAACTCAGGATTGCGTAGCACTCCATGGTTAAGAGTAATTCCCAAAAGATGATGAGGTGAAGAGAGAACTTGCTGTGAAAGTAAGTGCAAGATTGTTGACATCGTCATTAGAGCTTCCATGACCTATCTCATCTGAGTTTTCAATTAATTATCTTCCTGCTTGAAGATATTTTTGACTACGGGCCAAAGCTTGTAGGTATACCATATGGAGTTATTCGCTAACCGATCCCTGAACAAGTGCAGTAAGAAATCAAAGCTAAACCTCCAAGGAGAACCATGTCTGAATAAGAACCCCCAATCTTTGAGTACCTGTTATGGATGCATGAATATACATGGAGTGCATGAATAGATGCCATGTTATGTCCCTTCATTCTCAAGGAATTTACGTGCTTTGATTTTACGTAAGTAAAACATGGAAAAGTTTGGCATAAGGCTTACAAATACGATTCCTTGGAAATCATAGAACATGTATGCTAAGTATGTGGTTAACCATGTTATGTATGCACAGATATGAAATCAAATGGGATCAAGGTTCCATCATTTCCAAATATGATTGCTGTGTTATTCTGAACCATATGAATATCATCAAATCAAGGGTCCGACATAGCTTCCGCACATGTAAAAGTCGAGTACCATGTAGATCTAAGTAGCATGAGATCAAGGCTTCAGAAACATCAGGTACTGTTTGAGCATTTCTGAATATGCTGGGAATGCCACAATCAAAGGCTTGAATGAACTTCCAAGTAAACAAGTCAGGAATCTCAGAAAATAAATCTGAGAACCATGTAGTCACCAACAGAATACCATATGCATAAGTCACCGACATAAACCCATAACATAATCATTAGAACCAATAGTTACTGTCTGATCACAGTCTCCATCTGAGCATGAGTAACCATTTGGACACAGTCACCAACTGTACCTGTAATGACAAATCCCTCCCCACTCACGGGTGAGGACTAGGTCAGGGTAAGGTAACGGTAACTCGAAAATCACGGGTCCTCCTGAAAGTGCTATGGGCTTACCCACAGACGTGGGTGCCAATAGTAATTCATTTGAACCTCATCCGAGCGTGGTATATGACATGACTGCACTAATCGGACCACGTCCTATAGCCGTCATGCCCCCACTCTAGTCCTAGGTGTCCTAGTGCACTCTGGCCTGGGTACTGGGCCTTTTACCTCAATAGTAACATCCCCACCCAACATGGAAAACAGGGTCCAGCATAATAGATGACAAATAGGGAAAGCAATAAAATGTAATGCAAGCTTATGCTCAGATAAACATGTACAAATGAGTAAACCGAAAGCATAAAAATAAACACCCAAAGAAAAGAAAACAAGAGCTAGGAGCGACTCTGGGATGGACCAGCACTTGGTCGACCTAACCCTAGTGAAGTCGCCAGCTGAAACAACCGACTGAAAATCATCAAAACAATGAAGTCGCCATCAAACGTCTTTTATCCCACAGGAAGGGAAAGGTAAACATCGAGAAAACCTGAAAAGGGTGAAATCAAGGTCGAACGACCAAGAGATAAGGGTAAGGGAGTCTGTTACGTGAGGGGAAGGTATTAGCACCCTACACGCCCGTAGTACCCTACGGTATCCACTCTTGTTGTCTATCTTATGGGTGTGTTTAATCTATGCTTACGGTTTATTATACTACTGGAGGGAATGCATGCAAAAGAAAGGGGAAAAGAGTGTAGGGAAAGTAAAAGTTGTGCTCGTTCGGGCCCTACCCCGATGCCTACGTATCCCTTTTAAGGAATCAGAGCAGCCGTAGTTCGGCTTATATGTTTTTATTTGTTTGTATTTTTTTAATGAACAGTATTGATCCCACCTTCTGCCGCGACTCGACCTTTGGAGACTTATGCGTCAGCACAGAAGTGAATTAATACGCTCTTTTGAAAAATTTGGAAAGAAATGTGCCTGGACGCACAAAAAGGTTTGGACTTGTTTGTTTTTGTAATGAATGATATTAATTTCGCCTTCTGCCGCAACTCGACCTTTGGAGACTTACACGTCAGCACAGAAGTGAATTAATACGCTCTTTTGAAAAGGGTTTGAAATAAAGACCCGAAGGCAAAAAAGATTTTTATGTTTGTTGGTGTTTTTCGCTTGTAGAGAATAACTAGTTAATCTCAAGAGAGAGATTTTAACCATGTCTCTACTTATTCATGAAATGATTCTTTGAGACTTGAATCATACCAAATCTTAGAACAAGAGAATAATAAGGTCGAGAAGAAACCCGCTTATCATCTCTCAAACTTAGCCAAGACATGGTTCTTGTCAGTAAATTTTTATGTATTTTTGAAGTTTGTAAAAAAGGAGAAGTTTTTGTTTTAAATGCATATGCAAAAAAAGGGAAGGACAAGTCACAGGGAAACCAATCTATTTCTAAACCTAATTTTATTATAATTCATACGACCTTTATGTAGAGATAAATGCAAGGTGAAAGTAGAAAGAAAATATACCAAACGAGTACTAGCCCGTGGAGCAAAGCAAAAAAGTAAAGAGACCCGATGTTCTTGCGAGCTGCTAGCACCAACAAAGAAAAGAGTCAGAACTCCAATATTAGGAATGATTATTGAAGCATCCTCAGTGTGAAAATAAATCACAATCGGCATCTCGAGCGTATCCATATAAAAACCTGCATAAGACTTGAATCTTGACGAGCAAAGTGAATTACCAGTTTCGAGTAATCGAATAATCAGGAATTAATTTTTAAAGGCAAAATAATAATAAGTTCTCCTCTTTCTTTTTTTTTTGATTTAACCATTTGAAATAACCATTAAGTAAATGAATAATAACAAAAGGAGAAAAGGAAAAAAATCCAAAACGACGGCGTTTACTGTAAACGGCCCCCTCCAGCTCCTTTACGCAGAAATCCTTTCTTCTACATTCGAAAACAACAATGGTGATGCCGCCATGACTCCATCCCTTATCCCCTGTTCTGATTCAACTTTCTTGTTCACACCACCTAAAGTCTCTCTCTGAATTTCGACTCATTCGCTTGCTTTCATCAATTTCTCTTCCTCTATCCAGAATCTAACAACGAAACTTAAGCTCTTCATTTCTTCCGATCAAGATTACATGGTGGATTTATCGTTCGCCGCATTTTACCCTTCGCGGTTATGGTACAGACCAAGCAAAAAAAGTCGTAAAAAGAAGAAGATTGAGGATTACCTGTTGAAGACACGTTGGTAGCGCTTCAGAAATCCAGAGGTGAAGTAATACAATTATTGTCCTTCTTGATCTTGTCTGCTTCATCTTGATCCCTTCATCACTGTCTTCACTTTTGTTTGGTTTGGGGGTTGCGTGCGTTGGAGATAGGAGAAGAGTGGAAATGATGACAATTATGAAGATTATTGCAAGTTGAGAAAAATGAACTTTGTATGATGAATCAGAGAGAAGTGAAGCTTTGAGAACCAACTGAAGATCAAACAATGGAGAGTGGAGGTGAAGACGGAGTTTAGAGAGGGGAAATTGAAGATGATGGTTTCAGTGATTCTCCAGAACAGTATATGGAGAGAGAAAAAAATGATCCCCGAGACTGATGAAGCGGAAGGTTTATATAGTTGGTCAGCTGAGAAAAGTTTGTTAGAGATTCCAGAAAGTTTGTTAGAACAGTAGCCTATTACTAGAATCATTAGAAGTTGGTTAAAATTAGTTATCTGCCTTGTAATTGGTTATAGGAAGAAGTCCTGATCGAGTCGGTTATGAATTCTGTTTTCCTTTGTTAGCAGTTTCTGTTATCACTGTTAGAGTTAGTTATAGAATTAGTTAGGGAGTTATAAAATTGTTAGGAGGAAATTGGTGAGCTGTTAATTAATCTTCTGTTTCTCATTTTCTGAGCTTCTGTCCTACAAACAATCTTCCAGCAGCCAGCTGCTTTTATAATGGAACATCCAAAATGGCATTTATAGGGTACATTCATCAGTTAGTTCAACTTGTACCGTGGCATAGTGTTTCTTGAAACCTTCGGGATCTTTTGAGTTGTTCCATGATGTGAATGGTTGATATAGTCTCATAAACCGCCTACCCCAGACCCTATGAGCTTCGAAAAGTTTGTCATCATTTCCTTCATCTATGTAATTCATTGCAAGCAGGCGATTCTGGCCAGCATTTCAAGAGTTGGGATCAATCTTGAGACGTTGTTCATAAGCATTATTTGCTAGAGCAATATCACCAGCATCTCTGTAAAGAACTCGTAGGTTATTGTAGGCCTCTGCATATGTCGGATTTGTAATGATAGCTTTCTCAATCATACTTGCCGCGACGTCCATCTTACTCTGGACAGTGTAGACAACACCAAGGTTATAATATGCTGGAGCATAGTATGGATCTACTTTTAGAGCTTCAAAATATTTTTTAAATTCCTCCTGAGTGTTTCCTGCAACAACCTGTCTAAGGCGAGAAAAGCAGTTGTGGCCCATTTTTGGCACCTGCTGTTTCTCCTTGCTATCGAGACTAGAATCCCACTGGTTGAGTAGATCGGAGGTAATTCTAGTCAATCCACTTTTGGAAGCGGCTTATCGTGCCACGGGATCTTAATTAAGAATTAAATCAAGAGTATGAAAAAGAGTAGCCAGCATGATGTAATTTTTAACGCTAGAAACTATACCACATTCTTTGATAGGCCATTAGAAGACAAGATCTTCTCCAACTGGGCCTTTGCAAGTTTTTGTCTGGTCTCGTCATAACGTTTCCATCTTGAGAAGGCTGACACCATTCTTGATGCAACCTGAGGATTTATTTTGTCAAGTTGCAGCACAATATCTCCCATAAACTCATAGCCAGATCCATCCTTTGCATGGAAATTCACAGAGAGCCCGCAGAAACCTCCAATGAGAAAGTACACTTTATTGGGATTGTGCAAGTCAAATGTTGGGTGGCTTAACAGTTTCTGCACATTCTCAACATTACCAGGAATGTCAGACACAGCTTAAAGAGAAAACCATTTGTTCACAACCAAGTAATCATTCTGCCACTTCTCATAAAAGTCAGCAAGAACATCATCACGAATTTTAACAGGGTTCTGGGCTATGGATGCCAATGCTGCAAACTGTTTAGTCATATTTGTAGCAGTTTTGTATTCTTGAAGTGCAAGGTCGGTGAATTCTTGATCCTCAAGGGAAGCAAGATAAGTAAGAGCAACATTCTTCAAAGCTCGTCTAGACATGTTTGAATGATCAAACACATACTCTCCTGAGCTCTTATTATTTTCTACAGTGCTAAGGAACTCTGATTTCAGTTCACTAGCAAGCTGCTTTCTGATGAAAGACCGAACAATATGAACAACATCAGGGTCTGCAACTTCCATCAAGTCCATCATTTCTCCCTCGCCAGGCAGAGTTATTGCCTTGGCCACAAATTCTTTGTCCAGACTTGAGTCAGTTAGTATACGCTTGAACCCACCAACAAAATTGGAATTTAAAACCAATGGCTTATTATTTTGGAAATCATCCACCAAGTTGAGCATCAATTTTCGTGCCAAAATTTGTCCAGCCTCCCATCGGTTGAATTCATCAGAATCATTGGCTAATAGGAAAAATAGGTCGTCCTCAGTAAGATCAGATTGAAGACGAATAGGAGCACTGTATCCCCTTAACAAAGATGGAGTAGGCTTCTCAAATATATCAGTGAATACAAACTCTTCTTCTTTCTTAGTGACTCTAAGGATTGTAGTGGATACTGATTGGCCACTGCTTGAAACGGGTTGCAAAGCTCCGTTATGATAAATAAAGGAAAGAGGAATGTCCTTGCCATTTGAATCAAGCAAACCTACTGCAATAGGAATTAACATGGGTTCCTTAACTGACTGCCCTGGAGTTGGTGGTATCTCTTGACTAATCTTCAAGGAAAATGTATGTCCTTCTGCATTATAAGAAGTATTTACTTTAACAACTGGAGTCCCAGCCTGAGAGTATCATGATAAGAAATTTGCAAAATCTGCATCATTTGCATCCCGCATGGCAGCATAAAAATCTTCACATGTTACAGCTTGCCCATCATGTCTCTTAAAATATAGATCCATGCCCTTTCGAAACCCTTGATTTCCCAATAAGGTTTTGTACATTCGAACAACTTCAGCCCCCTTTTCATAGACCGTGACTGTGTAGAAATTGTCCATCTTGATGTAAGAGTGTGGTCGCACTGGATGGGCCATGGGACCTGCGTCCTGTGGAAACTGGTAATTCCGAAGTTTTGAAACATCACCAATCTGCTTTACAGTACGACTTCCCATGTTAGATGAGAATTCCTGATCACGAAAAACAGTGAGACCTTCCTTCAGACTAAGCTGGAACCAGTCGCGACATGTCACTCTGTTGCCAGTCCAATTATGGAAATACTCGTGGCCAATAACTCCTAATATTGCAGCATAATCTGCATCTGAAGCAGTCTTTGGAGAAGCCAGTACAAGCTTGGAATTGAAAATATTCAAGCTTTTGTTTTCCATGGCCCCCATATTAAAATCTGGCACAGCAACAATATTGAAGAGGTCCAGGTCATATTCAAGTCCAAAAACATCTTCGTCCCACTCCATAGCTGCTTTCAGAGAATACATAGCATGAGCCGTCTTAGGCACATCATCTGCAGGCGTCCAGATTCTAAGGGACACCCTCCTACCAGAGCGAGTAGTAAATATGTCATCTCTATAAAAAATCCATGACTTTTCCAAAATAACGGCATTTTGTTGATATTGAAGCTTCAGTTACATGGCCACCAAAATTCATGTGATCTAAAGCAATTGATGCCAAAGTAGAAGCCACTGATTTTGAGGCAGGACTTATATTCATAATATCATCACGTCGGCGAGAAAGTTGCAGCATTATTTTTCTATGTCACGCCTAAGAAGGTTGTGGAGTCTGAGCAGTAATTCTTCTTTCTCCAGCAGCAACGAGTTTCTCTACATGTGCAACAATATGCTTTCCATAAGTGTATTTTTTCAATGCATTCAAATGAACTTTGATTCGTGAAAGAATCAGCTCACGTTGATGGTCGTCACATGTTTCCAACACCTTTTGGATGACATAATTTGCAAACTGATCTTTCATCATTTCCTGAAGAGGCTCATTTTCATCTGTGGTTCCAAGCATCTCACTGACTAGTATTTGGCGTTCTGAAGGACCACTGAAGGTCAAGCATTTCTCCACAACATTGGAGGCAAACTTTTGTTGACTCATTTGAACTATCCTCCCTGCTAATTCCTTTATTATAGTAGAACACTCGTGAGGCTTTTCATGTTCCAATACATGCTGAACAACGTAGTTGCCATACTGATCCTGAGCTAACATACTAACATAACTTAAAATCTCGTCCATAACTTTCTGTTGTGTTGCAGGATTTTCACAGTGCTCCAGTACTCTTTGTATCACACGACAACCATATGGATGGGTAGAGATTGTCACAACTTGATCAAAAAATGTTGAAACAATAAAGTCAATTGCATCTTCTGGGACACATTCAATGCACTTATGAATGACATGATTACCGTTCTGATCACGTACACAACGCATGATATTACCATCGAGCTCTTGAACCATCTCTATTTTCTGATTCAGATCAACAACTTCAATGGCCTTCTGGATGACCGGACAACCATACATTTGAAGACTAAGTGTCAGGACATGGCCAAGAAGCTTGTTGGCTAATTCTCTTCTCTGGGGTCCAAGTCCATGCTCAAAAAACTTTTGAACCACATAATTACCAAAGACATCAGTCATCAAAACAAGAGCATGTGGCATGATTTCCTGATAAACCATGTTTTTTTCTTCCGTAGTTGTTATTTCAAGCTTCTGTTGAATAAATCGGCTCCCACATTGATCTGCGCTGAATTCAACAACATGTCCAGCAATTTTAGAGAGCTCAAAACACTTGGCTTTATTTCTCTTGAACTCTTCCAACAGAGAAGAAGCAAAGTTTTCATCCATGTTCCCAGCTAAGTTCCCATTCCAGACCCCAGCTAAGTTCCTCATTCCAGAAGCAAAACACATGTTTAGATCATTGTCTGATGGGACTTCCAGACGCAACTGGAGAAGAAGAGTTTGTCATTGGATTTCATGGATAAGACAATCCAACCTCATATATTGGATTTCCATAATAACCATGGTGATTGGAGTTTGCTGATTTACCACCCAGTGGTACATTGTATTGTGAGCAAAAACTAACGATGATGAGAACAAGAATGGCCTTGATTAACATGAATCTATGGTACCATTCCTTATGCCATGACCTCATACTTTTCAATTCAACCCCACAAGTCCTTTGTTTTGCCAAAAAATACCTTTGTGGGATCCTTAAAGAAGATAAAATTTGAAGCTTAGAAGGATATCCTCTAATCATTCCTCATTAATGAACATCAACAAACTCACACACAAAATGCGAAGCCTTAACCCGCTTGTATTAGGTGCACAGTGACGACTTGAGACATGGATAGAATAATGTTCAAAATGTCTTCGAAATGAAACAAAGCATGATCTTCCAATAGACATAAAGAAATAAACTCAAATCTTCATACTTTAACAAATAAAACCTTGCAACTTGATTTCGAGATGAATAGAATAACCTCGTAGCTTGATAAAGAAGAAATCCACAACAACCATTAATCATAACCCTAAACTCACAGTTCAATGTTCCAGAAGAATCAGTCTTGTTTGATAAACACCTCGAACCAAAAGAAAACCTGAGCTTCACAATCAATGATTCTTGAATCATGATTCAACAAAACCTGAATTGGTTAATTGAAGAATGGATGAATGCCATGTCAAAGTCATTAAGCATGTGGTTTTATCAGAAAATAATAGCCTCGCTGCTTGAGGGAAAGGAAGTCCAAAAAAATGAGAATGAACCAAAACCCTAATTCCACAACTTGCTGCTTGAATAAGAAATCATCCCTTATTGGATACGAGCGCCTTAACCACTGGGAAACCCTAGTATCGCACAACCCTTGGACTTTGAACCTCAGAGCTATATTGAATGAAAAATGCGTGCTATGAAAATGACCCATTGGAATGATGCAGATGAATGCAAAAAGTCTAAGCCAAATAAAAGAGATTAGGAGGGAAAATTTTGGGGTGCAACAATTGCCCCTTTTTAA